GGGGGGGGGCGCCCGGGGGGGGGGGGGCGGGGACGCGGGGGGCGGGCCGGGGCGGCTGCGGGGCGCGGCCGGGCGCGCTGCCCCGCGGCACCAGGGGAGGCTGCCCGCGTCCTCCCCGGCATGGGGGTCGGGCTCGGGCCGGCACCCCGCGGGCGGCGCTGACCGGAGCGGCACCCGCCGCTGCCGCCGCTCCCGACCCCGCGCCCGCAGCCCCTCGGTGGGGAGGCCGGGCGGCGGCGGCCGGCGCCCGCGGGCGGCCGGGCGGCGCGGGGTTCGGCGCAGCGGGGCTTGGGACCCGGAAGCAGAAGCGGGGCCGGGAGGCGGCTGGATGGGAAGGAGCGGCGGCGGGCGGCGATGGGGGAGCAGCAGAGCTCGCTGAGCGCCCCGCGGGCGGCCGCAGCGCCGCCGAGCCCGGCCGGGGGCCCGCGGGAGCCCGGCCCGGACGAGCCGCCTTCGCCGCTAGAGGCGGTCCCGGGCGGCGGGGCGGCCGGGCCGGGGCGAGGCGGGGAGCTGCCGCCGGCCGCCGCCGGCCCCGAGCGGCGAGGGACCGAAGAGGAGGCGGAGGCGGCGGCCGGGCCGGAGCAGCCGCCGGGCTCGGGGGAGCCGGCCGCCCCGGCGGAGGAGGGGCCGGAGGGAGGCAGCGGCCGCCGCCGCCCCCCCCGGCGGCACGTGTACTGCACCGTCTACTGCGTGGAGAACGATCGGCCGGCGGCGGCCCCCGGCTCCCCCCGCGGCGGCTCGGGCGTGGGGCAGCCCCCGGCGCGGCGCGGGGTGGTGTCGGGCGACGACCCGCTATCGTCCGGCGGCAGCATCGAGGTAGTGGACTTGTACCTGCTGCCCGAGCCCTTCTCCGGGCTGATCGCGGGCGAGTTCGGGCCGCTGCTGGTGCTGAGCTGCCGCGTGTGCCTGGAGGAGAAGCCCATCAAGCCCCTGTCCTGCTGCAAGAAGGCGGTGTGCGAGGAGTGCCTCCGGCGGTACCTCAGCTCCCAGGTACTTCCCAGCGGGCGCCGCCGGGCTGTGCTGGTGGGGGCTGTGGCCGCATGCTCGGGCAGCCCGGCGGGCTGAGCGCTGCGCCGGGCCCGGCGAGCCGGGCAGGGCCGTGAGGTGCGGAGCGGGCGGGGGCCTTTCCCGTCCCGTAGGGAACGCGTTCGGCAGCCACCTGCGTGCGAGCTGTGGGTTCAGCGAGCTCCCGTTCCCCGAGCGCTGCTGTGCGCTGTTCGTACGCAGCTGGTCGGGTTTGGTCACTAAGGCGTTCTCAGGATCTTTCCGTCTTTACAAGGATTTTTTTTTGCTTTGAAACTTCAAACTCTTTCTGTTACCTGGCCGGCGGCAGCAGCATTCTTTTAAGAGGAGGCCAAGGAGTGATGAGGAGCGGAGTTCGGGAGCATTGACAGCCGCCTCCGAAGCGGCTCCTGGAGCTGGGGGTTTTGCTTGCTGCCGCTTGGGCTTGCTGATGTTCGGGCCCTTGGTGCAGCCTCTCGGCCTGCTCATCGCAGGACACATCGCGTTTGGTGTTACGTCAGTTATGAAAGATGAAAATTGTGTGTGTGTGTATTGGTGAACAATTGTAGTAAACAATAACTTCCTTGGAGAAAAAAATTTGAAAATACGACTTTTACTTCATGGGCAGACAGCTGCTCATCCTGGGCAGGTAACTGGCATGTGGTGTGCTTACACATTCATCACTGTTTTGTCAGTCAGGACTGCTGTTTCAAACCGAAATCAGGAGCTTGATAACTAAGCTCTCTCTTCACGAATGTTTTCAGTTGTTAGTTTAGCACCTCAGAATATATTTGTGTTTCCGCTGCTAGTGTAATCATACCCTAAACATGAGGAACAATGGGGATGAGTATGGTGTGTGTGCGAAAACCAAAACCAACTAAACCCTTTGCTTACCACCTTTATGCTTTTATTCTGCAGAAGCTTTTAGGATGTACTTGGTGGATGTGTACTTAGGATGTGCTGGTTTGGTGGTGGAATGAGTTTTTACACCTGTTGGGGCTTGGTGCTGTGCTGGGGCAGTTTGTGTAGTCTTGCTGGGCTGTGTGTGTAGGGAAGGAATGGATGATTACAGCTGCCCCTGCACTCTATAAATAGTTGACAGGCCTCTTCTGACCAGAGTACATTTCACTGCTTGGAAATTGCACGTGCTACCAGAAGTCAAGTAGCTGCTCTTCTCTGGGCCCTGGTAGCCTGTGGAGCATTTGCTGGTGCTGCCAGCATTTGTTCTGGCTAATAGTAAACTCAATAGCATTTCTATGATTTAGTTTGGATTTAGTTTATTATGTTTAGATAATAGTGAAAGGCTTAACTTGGGAACTGATGGATTGGATGGTCAGAGTGTGTGTTTTGTGTGTTTCCTGTAACACTGAAACTCAAGAACACTTAACAAGCCTTCTTGAGACTTTGTGCACAGAGACCAGAATGATTTGATTTGTAGATAAGTGGTAGACTGGAAATTCTCACTTAAGTTTTTTGATTATATTGTCAATGCACATTTGTGCCACTTTGATATCTGCAGCTGAGGTCCTGTGTTAAAATATTGACTTTCCTTTAAGCTGGAAATTGGTAAGTGTTGTGATGTCAGGGTGATCTTCCCCATGTTCTGGAGGTGCCTGCACTTTACAGTGATGTAATGGAAGTTACATTCTGGTATCAGAAGCCATACTGAAGAACTCTTCTGGCTGGACTGTTGGAGAATGAAGCAGTAGCTTGGTGGCTGAAATAGCTGGCTGGCCTGGGAAGCAGGTGTATGCGCTTTGAAGTGGGTTTAGCATTGGCCAGGTGTTGGAGGTGTATGCAGGGATGCTTTTCAAGGAAGCCACTACTATTGCTAAGCACCTGCAAAGCTGATCCCAGCAGCTGTTGAAAGGTACCCATGTGGCATATAGCCATATGGGTACTTCCTCCTGTACATTAAAAGTGGGGGAGGGATGCTGATCTTGAGGAGTGACATTCACAGGGCACTTCTGTGGACATGTTTTTACAGATGCTTTTATGACCAGGCAGAATTTTAGTTGCTTGATAAATTTGTAAGGGAAAAATGAAACAAAATACAAAAAATTACAGTCCAGTGTGTTCTTCCCTTATCCTCCTTTTTGAAAAGGACAGGAAAGTGATATTTCTTCAAGAAGAACAAGAAGTGATCTGTCTCTTCTTTGTGCTGTGGAAGGACCTTGTGAGCCATCCTGGGGAGAGAGAAAGGCATCTCCGTGTCAGTTATGTTAGAAGAAATTCTGGGAAGGATGAGTGAAAAGCCGGTATAGCTTAGAAATCAAGTTACCTTTCATCTTTGAGACTTTGCATTTTCTGTAGGAAATTAAAAAGAAAATTTATGAGGAGTTTGAAAGGAATAAATGCTGAAAAGCTGTTTTCATGTGAAAATTTTAGATCTTACTTTTGGATATGATCAGCCTGATTTAAGAATTCACCCGAAATCAAAAACAAACAACAAAACACCTGAAAAACAAAACCCTAGACATCTTTGTGCATAGTTTAGATCTGGTTTTATTTTCAGAGAATTAGTGATCTCTGCCCTGGCTGACTCTATGTCTGGAGGAGTGGTCTCTCATGCTGAAGATGTGGAATATGTTGGCAGAAGTATAGCACTTAAAATAGTTTGTGTTGCCTTTGATGTCTGTGTGTGTTCTGTGCCTGAAGAAAGCTGTATTCTTCATGATGGCTTCGTTGTGATTCCTTAAATGATATTTAATGGAGTAGCAAATGTTAATGCACCCTGCTTTCTTCTGTGCAAATATATAAGAGCATCAGAACTTCTGCCTTCAAGCCCTTTATAGATCAGAAAATCAACTGAAGTTTTAGTCATTCTTAAAAGGAATGCCAGATGAAAATCCTCCAACTGCAGAGTTTTTGCTCATCATGTTACCAGCATGCTGAAAAATGAGCATAACATCTGAAGGTCCTTAGAGGTCAAGTCCAGTCTTTTTTATCACTGGCACCTTGCTGCATAATCCCTTTCAAAGATTTAGTGGCTGGAGCAGAAACTTAGCAGGCGAGCCTGGAATGCCCAGGCTGATCAGGAGCCTGACTTTGGGAAATTGCATAACTTTACTTCTGCCTCGATTTAACTATTCTGTATGACATCCTGATAATCACAGAGCACTTGGGGCTCTTCAGGGTCTGACTATGATTAGTTGATCTACTATTCAAAAAATATTCTGTGACTATTTGTTTAGACTCAAATAAATTGATGATATGGTAATTGATAGGTATGGGTGATGGGTTATCATGCAAGAGATTGTGGCTTTCACAGCTCAGGAACTGGTGTGGATCCCACAGAGTCTGAGTCAGGCCCCAGCAAGCCCTGTCTCCAGGAACTGATGCAGCCCAGAGCTGTTGTGTTATGCTTAATGGGTGAGGTTGAAGAGTGGGGTTGTCTGAAAGGCTAATGTTCGCCCTCCATGGACTCTCAGGTATGTGTTGAGTGAGACTGGGATCAAAAGTGTAGAAGAACCATTTCATATTCAGCTGGGAGCTGTGGGTTTCTGCACTCTGTCATCCAGCATACAAACTTGGGACAGGGAAGCAAAAATGAGGACACTTAATCTCACAGATGTAATACTACATCTGTATCTCCTTCACCTCCTTCACTTCCCATCTTTCTCTCCATTAAACATGGCACCAAACCCAGGCTTTTTCAGAAACTGTGCATACCCAGGTTTGCTAAAAAAGTGATCCACTTCCTAATCACTCTGGGCTGCTTATATTTTTACATCAGAGGGAGCATTTCACTTTTCTTATAAAATGGCTGCAAAAGTTTTATAGAAACCTCAGTGTCTGCTTTTTCTACATGCAAATAGGGAAACTTGATAATCCAGTTTTGATCCTGTGCTCATTAGTGATGCTTTATTTTGTAAATCTAGTAACTCTGTTGGAGTAGGCATTCTTACAGTAAAAAACTTAGGGTGAGTTAATTTACACACCATACTGTATTCTTCATCAGATCTTATGGTGCTTTAATTATAGGAACTCTAATGAGATTAGTAGCCATGAGTAAATTGGAAGGGATGGTTGGGGGTGGGGCGGGACTGCATCTGACAGTGTTTTGTGCATGTTTAGCTTTGATGGGACAAGAATCCTGCTTTCTTCTGAGCATGAAAGGTGGAGATCATCCTCCCTTGGCTCAGGACCTCAGTCTTTCTCTCTGTGACCTGAGATCTTGTTTTTGACCCCTTTATTTTCTGTACATGATTTCTTTCTGAAAAAGCTGGAGGAAAAAAAATATAGCTGCTGACTGTTACAGTCAGGATTTTTGTGGGGAATGTGATTATAAAGCTGCATAGTGAAGAGAAAATTTAGGAGCAGTCTGCATCACATAAAACTAGTACTGGCTTGGACCTGGAGGGCCTTGACACCTGTGTCGTGTCAGGTGTCTGATGGTATCATACAAATGATACATCTTCAAAGCTGTAGTCTGCTGATGAAAACCAGCCAGCAGAAATGTAGGCACCAAGTGCTGAATCATCTGATGGTTAATGAGCTGCTTGTGCCCTGAGTCAAACCAGAGCTCAGAAAGGCCACTGTCATTCAGTGCAGAAGCAGCTCTATGTTTGCAAGGGTAATTAATCTAAAACCCTTCTCTAACACCAGCTACCGAATGGCTGGGATGGCTGCAAACTGCCTACCAGGAGGTGATGGCAGGGTGAGCGACCACCCCTCCAGCTGACATTGCAAGAATGCAGAAGTTTCCAAAGGAGGAAGAGAGGTGCAGGAGGAGAAAAGAACCTGCTGCTTTACAGGCTTTCTAAACCAAATCAGCAGCCTCAGCCGCTGTAAGCTGTGTTCCCAAGAAGGAGGAGGAGAGGGCAGATAGACTTGGTCCATCAGATGCAAGCAGCCTATAAGATGCAGGAGCACCTAAACTACTTCTGTCATTTTCAGCAAGCAGCTTTTGAAAGTCTGTCGTGTTCTCCTGATGTGTTGTTTGCAGTACCAGTGTCAAAATGCTGCTATGTAGGCAGATGTCACAG